GCCCTCTCTCGGTTTCCCTTGCAGGCGGCAGCGGAAGGAGAGGCAAAGGAGGAGGTAGGAGCTGCTCGCGGGGGGGTTCTGCGGCGCTTAGGAGGCCCTGGGGGGGGTGGGGTGGGTTTTGGGGGGGGCTGGGCCTGGGGTGGCCCAGGTGCGGCCCCTCAGGGTGGTGCTGGAGGTGGGCAGGGGGTGCAGCCTGGCTGCTGAGGCCGCCGGTTCTGCTGGGGACACGTTCCCTTCAGCCTCACAGCTCAGTGGCAGAGCTTTAAAAACCCCTCTGGAAGCCAAGAGGCTTTATCCCAGCTCGGTGGGATGGAGGGGCAGCAGCAGAGAGTGGGGACGGTCGCAGAAAGCTGTACTTGTGGGGTGTCATGGCCATAATGCCCCTCGTTTCATAAATCCTAGGAGTCCTGTGGGGCCTCATGACGCAGTGTTTGTGCCGTGTTGTTCTGGGGTGCAGCCCTGAGAAGGGACTGCTTTCTGTGCTCTCTGAATGTTAGTGACACATCTTTCTTTACGCAGCCAAAGAGAAGGTCAGCTAGACTATCTGCTGTAAGTACCTTTATGAACTCCCTTGGCGTTACGTGGGGTGTGATGCTAAGGTCTAAGTTGCAGCTGTAAAGGAACTGTTTGGGGTTTTTCCGCGGGTGTTGGGACAGGCTGGTTTGAACACTGCAATCTTTAAACCTAAAATTCCTGTCCTGTGTTTCCAGTCCTTGAGTATCAACACATCCCAGGCTTTACTTTGAGACATTTCACTGGAGATACAACATCTGTGTTAGTAAACATTCAGTCTGGACACATGGGTATCCAGACTGAAAAGAATTCTGGTTTCAAGATGCATTTATTCTCTCTGGGTGTTCTCCATACAGATACCTGCTCATAGCTTGATGAATTACATGCAGCTTGACCCTTGATTTTGAAGACCCAACTGCTGGGTAAAAGGAGACCTGGAGGGTGTCAGTCTGTGCCACAGGGTAGGGTTCAGGCCAAAGGCACAGCCCTGAACAGGCTTTTGGCATCCTGTTCTATGCCAACCCTTTTTCAAGCCATCTTGGACGTGCCAAGTGGATGACAGTTGCTATTTGAAATAGAAAGGACTTGGTTTTAGTGAAGTTATGTCCAAATGTTAATACCTTTGAGTTTTGAGACATGCTTTCCTGAACAGCAGGCGTGGGTTTGGGTACTGAAACATAGTGATCTGTCTCTGACATTTACCCCTTCCTATGAATGAAGCAGACAGCTCAACTCTTCCATAGTTTTAGCAACAGGCTTCCTAAAACATTTGGAGCATTCCTGACTGTTTCTCATGTCTGTTTCCTACAGAAACCTGCTCCACCTAAACCGGAGCCAAAGCCCAAAAAGGCAGCACCTAAGGTAAGTGCTTGAACTTCTCTTGAACTGAAGTTACACTTTACTTTCTCAAGGTGTTTAGAGGGAGGGGGGAAAAGAAAACGTCCACAAGTAACCATGTTGGGTTTTCATAATTTCCTCTGAAGGCTGAGTTGTTGTGTGTAAAAAGGAGGTGAAAGATCTACAGATAATTTTGTCCAGTTCCTAGTGAAGGAATGTGGTAAACTGAACAGATTTTCAATCAGTTGTGGTGGGGCTTTGCTGCTGCTCTGAAGTCTCTTATAATGCATTGTTGGGAAAATGATGCTTTGAATAGAGATCAGAGGCTCAATTAGAGAAGGCATTGAAAATCATGCTTTTAATTACAGTTTCTTACTATGTTTTCATGCGAAGGCACCCTTTGCAGTTAGTGACCAGTTTATTGAATTTTCTTCACTGGAGATAAAGTTCTACATACCTGTTTCCTTAAGCTGGATATTTTGGGAAATGTTAAAAATATTGGCATGTCTGGCAGTGTAGTTAGAGAAGAAATTATTTAAATTTGTTCTTTTGAGCAACAGTTTGAAATTTCAAAGAGGCCAGTTTGCAAACCATGAGGTGTTTCTTTATGGCCCCATTCCTGTCACACAACAGGCACAGTTTGCAGTGTGGTTTTAGATCTGTTGGGATTTTGCACCTGGAAAACAGCAACGACAGAACTTCCTTGTTCTCTTTAACCTGTATTTTCTGTCATGGTTAGGAGTGGTTGTACAGGCAAAACACAGGTGTGAGGGATGCTTTGGTCAGAGAGGAGGATGAAGGGCTGAGAACCAGGAGGTTTCTCCTGTACTTCCCAAAGGTCTGCACATGGCAGAGCAGGGCAGCCAGCTGCTGAAAACTCTTCTGCCTCCAAGTATGGAGAGGCAGAGATGTCTGGAGGAATGGACAGGAAGGACAGCCCTGCCTGTTGGTTTGGGCACCCTGCATCTCAGCTCTGTAACTTCCGTGGTGTGCAGAGCAGATTTTTTTCCCCATTTGCGTCTGGTCGTGCAGCTGGATTCCTAGATCCCATTCCTGAGCGGCAGGGGAAGCTGGAGCCCTGCTGCTCAGCATTCCAGTGGCAGCCAGCGGCTGGCACACCCGGGATTGCATCTCCCTCTAGTGGGAACTCACTGCTGGTGGTTGCTCTTCCAGTCCAAGTGCCCCAGAGCTGCCTTGGGGCATCTCCAAAATTCTGGCTCCAGTCCCTGCTGGTGACCCGTGAACTGGTGACCAGTGCCCGGTGTTGGTGTTTTCCTTTTTCCAGTTTGCTTTTTTTTCTTTTCATGGAAATATCCCAGGGTTTATACACGAAAGCTGAGTTGACAGAATCTTAAAAAGTTGTGAAAATGAGCAATTGGAAGTGAAGGACTAGAAGTGAATGTCAGAACTTTGTGTGGTCCCTTTCTGCACAAGCTGGATGGTGTGGTCTCCCTCTGGGATCACTGGGAAGTGGTGCCTTGGTTGTTGCTCCTCACATTGTCCCCCAGGTGGACTGGGAAAGGGTTGATCCTCTTACTTCTAAGGTGCTGGTTTGAAGGCAGGATACTTGAGCTGCATTTTTTTGCTCTCTGGAGCTCCTACTGCTGGATCAATATCTGTGCAAAGGGGGGTGTCATTTAATTCTTGTTTCCCCCAAATGCTTCACTTTGCAGCCTTCACGTTCTCCAGATGGTTTCTGTGTGGCAGAAGAGATTTCACCTTTTAAACTTACCTGTTTTGAAAAACATAGAGCTGGGAAGAAAGTTTTTATCACTTTATAAAAGACATGGCCTTATTGCTGAATGCCTATAGACAGGTTGTTCAGGAAAATGAATACAGTGGTATTAGCTCAGAACTAGCTGAAAGAATGGGAGAAACTTGGAAATTGGAAAAGAACAGTATCTCCTTGGGTATTTTTGTTCCTGAACTCAGTTGGTGGTGGAAGGAGGTTTGATCCCTTCCAGAATAGCTGGTAGCTTGTTCCAGAAGCCATGGATCTTGCAGAACAGGGATGCCAGGATCCTCACTCAGCTGTGTTCTCTCCAGTCAGATTCCAGCCATAGAAGCCAGTTGCTGTGGATTCTCCTTAAATCCTTTCTTAAGAGGAGCTTTACCAGCAAAGTGTGGGCTACAGAGAATTACACTTTTAGCTCTGTTCATACTTTGCTGTCTTTTTTTTTCAGGGGGTAGGGGAAAAGATCCCCTTCTCCAAACAAGCCTAGATCTTTAAAAATCTTTTATGGTTTATACTGGGAAAGCAAGTGACCACCATGTGTGTGGAGCATCCTGGTGCTGCTGGAGGAGCCCTTCACCCTGCACTACCTGGATCTGTTCAGGGGACAGGGAGCAAACCAGTGCCACAGTAGTATTGCAATTCTCAATCTTCCTGCCAGACAGGACCAGAATGCTTGGGTGCTGGTGTTGCTGTGATATTTATCTCTCTTCTGCCTCTCTTGAAAGTTGGAGGACTGTGCAGCCAATGGAGGAGAAGAAAGAGGGAGTGGAGGCTTAGTCTTCCCTTCCCTCCTCTGGTGACTCTTTTCCTTCTCCCAGAAGGAGCCACTGCATACTTCTGATAAGTGAGTCCCTGGGGAGGAGGAGAGGCTCTCTGGGCACAGCCCAGGAGCAGGAGACTTCTCACACCATCTTGCAGTAGAATTTCCCAGGTGGGCTGAAGTCCCTCAGAGTGGCAGGTCAGAGAGGAAAGAGACCCTCACACATTTGGGTGCTAACCTCCTGTCTTAAACTGTGTCTGCATTGCTGTAGGATTTAGTGTTAATTTTGGTGGATTTTTAATCATCAGGATCACTGAAGAATCAGTTGACTTTGCCCCTTATACTCTTGAGTTCACCCTTAGCAAGGATCTCATTTTTAATGTGAATTAATCTTGTGAGGTGTTGAAATAACAAAGTGTACTTTTTGTGGCTTCTGGTCACTGAGACTGCTCCATCTTCTGAGTAGATAGGTATAAACAGCCAGTAATTATCTGTTTTATCTTCACTTACATGTGAGTAGTGATTTTGCAGATACTTATGGTTGCTTGGAAGGAACTAGGTTAATCAAGTGAGGAACTAAACTAGTTCCTTTGGTTCTGTTACTGACAGCAAGAGGCAAAGTGAAACTAAAGAGAGTTGTGCTTGGTACTGCACTGGCATGGGGTGCTGACCTTGCCCCAGAGAAAACTGTTACTGCAGAAGTTGTAGCATGAAGTTTTGTTTTAATTCAGCCTGATCCACCTAAGAAACCACATTTAAATCATGGAATACTAGGATGGTTTGGCTTGGAAGGGACCCAGAAGATCATTAGGTTCCAACCCCCTGCATGGGCAGGGACACCCCCCAGCAGCCCAGGCTGCTCCAAGCCCCATCCAACCTGCCCTTCAACACTGCCAGGGATGGGGCAGCCACAGCTTCCCTGGGCAACCCGGGCCAGGCTCTCACCACCCTCACACCAAAGAATTTCCTCCTCATGTCTCACCTCAATCTCCCTCTTCCAGTTTTAATCCATCCCCCCTTGTCCTCTCCCTCCCTGCCCTTGTCCCAAGTCCCTCCCCAGCTTTCCTGGAGCCCCTTCAGGCACTGGAAGGTGCTCTAAGGTCTCCCTGGAGTCTTCTCTTCTCCAGGCTGAACACCCCAACTCTCCCAGCCTGGCTCCAGAGCAGAGCTGCTCCAGCCCTCCCATCACCTCCGTGGCCTCCTCTGGACTTGCTCCAGGAGCTCTGCGCAAAGTCCTGGTCGTTACTGAAGTGATGCTGTTGAGTCCCAAACTTGTCTGTCACACAAATGGTTTATTATAGTAAGGAAGATTTCTGGGCAGGGAAGGGGGAAAGCCCTTTGACTACAGCTTTGTTGCAGTTTTGTAAATGGGCATTAATAGCACATCTGAAGTGTTCTGGTATTTCCACTGGTTGTACATGTCCTTTGTGTTCTGTGCATGCCTTTCAGCAGCACAGCAGAAATACAGGCCAGTTCAACTCCAGCATTTTTTAGCTAATTTAATTGAATGCCTATTTAAAATAGGAATTCTTTTAACCCAGACTGTGGCTGCTTTTATATTACCCACTTCCCAGTAGCACATTCAGGACAGAATAGAAGGAAAACACTTCTCCTTAGACCCTTTGGTCTCCTCGTTGTTGGTTGGAAGCTCAGGGTGTAGGAGGAGGTTGTAGAGCTGAGGATGTGGCTGTGCAGAGGGACAAGGGGAAATGAGCATTCACCACATCATGGTCTGTTTATTTAACAGAAAGAAAAGGCAGCAAATGATAAGAAGGAGGACAAAAAGGCAGCAACAAAAGGGAAGAAAGGAGCCAAAGGCAAAGATGAAACTAAACAAGAGGATGCTAAAGAAGAAAACCACTCTGAAAACGGAGATACCAAAACTAACGAGGTACTTTAGCTTCAGTGAACATGGGAATAGACACACAGGTGTTGGTAACACATCTGCAGGAGCTGAGGGCTGGGCCTCCTGGTCAGAAGGTGTGTTGGCACTGTCATCCTCTAAGGACAGACCAGCTGCAGTCCCTGCAAGGGGCAGCTCCAGGAGAGCCTGGCAGAAGAATTACACTCTCCTTCAGGCTCATTCCTTCTGGGCCCTCCTGCAGGTGGTCTGTGCTACCTGAGCATCCCTGGAAGGCCTGGCACAGGAGCAATGAGGAATGTTTGGGGAACAATAGAGCTTAGTAAGATTGCTATCCAACCCTGAGCTGACTTTGCATATCCTCTCTGGACTGCTGGATTGCCTCTTCTGCTCAGCACGGGTTGGTGCTGTGCCAGAAATCTGGTTTTAAGTTTTACCCAATTCTGTAAAACAATTCTTCGTCTGAGAACAATTCAACAAGAGATCTGCAAAGTCTCTTGATCCTGCAGTCTCTTCCTCACAGGTTCTTCCTGTATCAGCAGCTCACCTGAGAGCTGCCATTTGCTAGGAGTGGCCACAAGCTGCAGTCAGCTCCTGATGACCTTTTCCTGGCATATTTCTGGCTGACAATAGAAGCACAACCTTTGCTACAGGCTCCCTTTGCCCCTGGAGGCACAGACCAGGCTGTTGTGTCCTCTGTCCCTTTTGATTTCCAGTGATTTCATCTGTGGAGCATCTTTATCCAGTTCATGGGCCCTTCATTCTTGCATTTTTTTAAAGGAATTTAGGAGCTTCTTTGCTAAAGGTTAATCCAGGGCTAAAGTGATTGAAAGGATCTTTGATAGGATCTTTGCAATTTTCATGTGTGGACTTAAAAAGTTAATAGCAGACATGTCTCTAGAAAGCAGGTGAGAATCAATTCCCCAGAGTCTGGACACTGACAAGTGTTGTGGTTTTGTGTGTAATTCTTCCCCTTTTTGGTGACTTTTGAAGGTGAGGACTTGAACTTTGCCAGCCCATGATTGATCCTAATCTAAAAGAAGTTCTAAACTTCTGCCTCTTTGGAGGCACATCCCAAAATGAACTAATTGATCAACTAATAAATTGTTTTTAGTTTGTAGAACCACCAGCCAACGGGTTGCTGTGTTGGTATCTTCTGTGCCTTCTTGTCTGTCTACACAAAATGCTGTCAACAAACAGCTAACAAACTGCTCTGTCTTTGCTGCTTGCTGGAATTCCAATTAGCATTACAAATAATATTTCTATTTTTCCCAAACACTTTTATAGGCACCAGCTGCTGAAGCATCTGATGATAAGGAAGCCAAGTCCGAGTAATGTTAACCCTGCCCTTTATCTCCATCATTTGGTATCCGTACCTCCATGCTGTATTGTTAACAGAGAGGAATATTTTTATCAACTATTTTATAAATGCAGGTTTTTTTAGCATGAATTTAATTATGGAACATCTTCATCTCGGTTACTTGGGAATGAAATCCCTGACAAACAAAACAAAACCAACAACGACGACGACGACAACAAAAAAATCATTGTTTTTAAATTTTGTGATTGTAATAGTTTGTATGGTACATGGAAAGAATAAGTGGTGGTAGCTTTTGACTTCTGTCAGTGTGTCCCTTTTTGTGTAAGTCATGCTTACAGACTCCAGATTTTAATTTTTCCCCTTGTATGTGTTGTATGGTTTCTTAAAGTGGGGAGGTCTCAAAACAAATAACCGTGTTAAAACATTCCAGTGGTTCTGTGGGTTTGCTTTTATAAAGAAGGTGAGCTATTTTCATGAATAAATAATAATAATAATAAAAAAAAAAAAACCTAAGAGCTGGAAATCTGTTGTTTCCCAAATGTAGTTTTATTTTGTCAGTTTTGAAAAAAATAAAGAAATAAAAAAAAGTGTAATCATGTTTTTAAATGAAATGCAAACATTTCTTTTCGAAGGGCAGGTCGGTTGTGTATGTACCCACTGTTAGGAATTTTGCTGGATTTATCTTAATAAAAAAGACTCCTCAAAAGCTGATTGTGGTTTGTTGCTTGTGCTGCAAACGTCCTGCTGGAAAGCCACCACCTTCCAGAAGAGTTGCAGTAGCCCAGGGACAACCTGTGCAGCTGGAAGGCTTTGGGCCATAGCACCTTCAGGGGCTTTGGGCTCCTGTCATCTTCAGTTGTGTCAACAAAAACCAGTTTATGGATCAGCCTCCCAGCAGCCACAGTGGGAACTGGTGGTCAGATTGATGAAATTCAGCAAGGGCAAGTGCAGAGTTTTGCATCTGGGGAAGAACAAGCCCATGGACCAGGACAGGTTGGGGGCTGAGCTGCTGGAGAGCAGGGGAGGAGAAAGGGCCCTGGGGGTCCTGGTGGGCAGGAGGATGAGCATGACCAGCAATGTGCCCTTGTGGCCAAGAAGGCCAGTGGCACCTGGGGTGGGTTAGAAAGGGGTGGTTGGTAGGGCAAGGGAGGTTCTGCTCCCCCTCTGTTCTGCCCTGGGGAGGCCACATCTGGAATGTTGTGTCCAGTTCTGGGCCCCTCAGTTCCAGAAGGACAGGGAAGTGCTGGAAAGAGCCCAGGGCAGAGGCACAGAGATGCTGGAGGGAGGGGAACATCTCCCTGCTGAGGAAAGGCTGAGGGAGCTGGGTCTGTTGGGCTTGGAGAAGAGGAGACTGAGGGGCCACCTCATCCATGGGCACAAATCTGTTCAGGGCAGTGTCAGGAGGCCAGAGCCAGGCTTTGTGCAGTGATGTCCAGTGACAGGACAAGGGGCAGTGGGTGCAAACTGGAGCCCAGGAGGTTCCATGTGAATGTCAGGAAGAACTTGTTTGCTGTGAGAGTGCCAGAGCCCTGGGCCAGGCTGCCCAGAGAGGCTGTGGAGTCTCCTTCTCTGGAGACATTCCAACCCCCCTGGCCACGTTCCTGTGTGATGTGCTCTGGGTGCCCCTGCTCTGGCAGGGGGGTTGGGCTGGGGGAGCTTTCCAGGTCCCTTCCAACCCCTGGGATTCTGTGATGCTGTGATTATTCCAGTCCTGATGACACCAGCTGGGAACTCCAGCCAGTGTTTCCAGCCCAGAGCTGACTGGGAAACCCCTGTGCTTCCTCCAGGAAAAGTGGTTCACCTGGTGTTGCCCAACACACCCTGAGCACCATGGGTGTTAGTTTTATGTGCCTGTTAACTGGTGATTTAGAGGGAGGTTCTTTCTCTTGTAGAAATGCTGCAGAAGCTCAGAGATGACCACATGTGCATCAAACCAGTATAAACCATAAAACTATTTTCTGTCAGAGTGGGTGTGCTCATAGTCCTGCTTCAAGTGTGTCCTTCCATACCTGCTGTTTATAGTTTTCTTCTTGCAACATGTACCAAAAATGTTCCCATCAGCTCCTTTCTCCTAGCATGATTCCATGGATTTGTGCAGAAGTGCATCCCATTGGTGCCAGCTCCATTATTCTGGGACATGACAGACCAGTTAGTGGGGGGGTTCATACTGGTTTTACCTCACCTCGTGGCTGTTGCTACAGCTTTTCTATCCAACTTCATCAAGGACACTTCACATTTTCTTCTTAAAGCCTCCTTTTAGATGATGTCTCTTCACCTTGGGGGCCAAATACACATATTTAATAATAAGAAAACCTAATATTTTGCATGAGATTGTTTCACAGCCCAGAGATGTGAAAGGGTTTGAACGTTTGACCTCAGATCCAAACTCCCAAAGAGCATCTCAGTGCCCAGTGTCTGTGCTAAATGTGTGTTTCAGGAGCAGCACCCAGGGCACTGGCCACTCCAGGGTGTTTAATGTGGATGTAATTGTCAAGGCCCACAGCACCTGGAGGTTTTATTCCACCTTTTGGTCTGTAGAACAGCTCTGTAAATGTGTTAACTGAGGGTTAACTGAGCTGGACCTTCCTGGGCAGGAAAGGTGAGAGTATTGAGGGGCCTTTTCCTTGGCAGTATATTCCCTTGACCCAGCCCAGACACAGGGACCTCCAGCCACACTCCAGTGTCTCTTCAGTGAAAACCTGGAAAGAAGTCTCAGGACTCTCCTGCCTGCTGGAAGGATGGTGAGCTGGGGGTGTCCTACGTGCTGCTGGGATCTTCTCTGCATGTTGTGGACCTCATTCTTCCCATGGGCTTTTGCCATGTGTGTGGTGACAGCCATGGGGCAGCTGGGCCACCTTGCACATCTTCACTTGGCATTTTGGCCTCCTGGGATCATTTTTGCTATGGGATGCACAGATTTGTCTGACAAATTTAGGGTAATGTAGTCAAATCAGGGAAGAGTCTCAATGTCCCAGTCTGAAGACAGTGGTCCAAGTGTTACCCTGACACCTACAATTCATTGAGTGAATTTAGCCTGCTTGGGAATAACAAAAGATCACCCAGATGCACAGCAGTGGGCTCTGGGTATGTGCCTTTCTAGGGGCTGACACTGCTGCTTGAAGGTGGGGAGAAGCACCAGTGGGCCTGTACTGCTCCAGGGGGGAAATGCATCTTGGAATGAAATGGGGTTTATTCCCCCTGCCCCCAGTGGCTTCTCTGAAAGGGCCTAAAAGAGCAAATCCATTTCCATAAGGAAGGTGAGCTCCTTCTCCTGATCTGGGTGCCATTGAACCACATCCCTGGCAGTGTTGAAGGGCAGGTTGGATGGGGCATGGAGCAGCCTGGGCTGCTGGGAGGTGTCCCTGCCCATGCAGGGGGTTGGAACTGGATGGTCTTTAAGGTCCCTTCCAACCCAAACCATCCCATGATCCTGTGACTCCCTTTGGCTGCAGCCACTGAGCATCCTGAGCAGTGACACTTCAAGTACAGAAGAGTCACTAGAGTTGGTTCTTTCTTCTCAGCAAAGGGCTCATCCCTATGCCAAGGCATAACCAGCCCATCATACTCTAGCTGAGGTATGTCATGTTTCTCCATTTTAAGCTGGAGGTTGTTCCACAGAAACATACAATTGAGTGTTTGGTTTTGTTTATTTCTTCCTCTTCTAGCGCCAGGGCCAGAGTTGTTCTTAATTCTATAACTATTGTTACAATCAGATTCCTGTTTCAAATAAGTACAGAGAATTGCTTAAGAACTTTTCAGACAAGCCTCCTTGCTCACATTCAGAACTGTTCTGAGCAACGGGGTATTGAGGGAGTTGCACAACTGAATAGACTGCCTGTTTGCTGCCAAATCCCCCTCATCTCTTGCTCCTGATGTCTAGACACTGAGTTGCAGGCGAGTTCCACGTCAGCTCAGCAGCTTGTCTTGCTTTTGGTTCTCCAAAAAGCAGAGATCTCAAAGGGAGAGAACTTCTTCAGTGACCTGTCAGTTGGGTGTAGCTGCTTTCAGGTTGAGTTGGAGGATGTGGAGAAACACTGAGATCCTTGGCTGCCTGCTTTTAGCTTGGGGAATCATGGAATCATGGGATGGTCTGGGTTGGAAGGGACCTGAAAGATCATGTGGATCCAACCCCCTGCATTGGCAGGGACACCTCCCACCAGCCCAGGCTGCTCCAAGCCCCATCCAACCTGCCCTTCAACACTGCCAGGGATGGGGCAGCCACAGCTTCCCTGGGCAACCTGGGCCAGGCTCTCACCACCCTCACACCAAAGAATTTCCTCCTCATGTCTCACCTCAATCTCCCTCTCCCAGTTTTAATCCATCCCCCTTGTCCTCTCCCTCCCTGCCCTTGTCCCAAGCCCCTCCCCAGCTTTCCTGGAGCCCCTTCAGGCACTGGAAGCTGCTCTAAGGTCTCCCTGGAGCCTTCTCTTCTCCAGGCTGAACACCTCAACTCTCCCAGCCTGGCTCCAGAGCAGAGCTGCTCCAGCCCTCTGCCCATCTCCAGGGTCCCTGTGGAAGAGACGTAAAGGGAGGTTGGAACAACTTGCTGTTGTTAGAGCTTGGACTGTTCAGCAGTGCCTGCACAAGGGGTGTGTGCAGCTGCTGCCCTGGAGTGTGCAGTGAAGCCTGGGGAAAGGAGGAGATGTTGCTGGTCATGATGGTTTAGATACTGTCACTTGAGGTATCATATAATCACAGCATGTCAGGGGTGGAAGGGACCTCTGAAGATGATGGAGTCCAACCCCCTGCCAGAGCAGGACCAAAACCAGGGCAGGTCACTCAGAAAGGCATCCAGACAGGGCTGGAAAGTCTCCAGAGAAGGAGCCTCCACAGCCTCTCTGGGCAGCCTGTCCCCGGGCTCTGTTACCCTCACAGCAAAGAAGTTCTTCATGTTGAGGTGGAACTTCCTGGGCTCCAGTTTGAATCCATTGCCCCTCGTCCTGTCCCAGGGCACAAGTGACAAGAGCTTGTCCTGCCTTCTTGCTGCCAAACCTTTCCACCCTGTTACCTCTGAGCACTATCCCTGCTGGTACCTGCTAAGCAGGAACCCCACTAAAGGTTTAGTCTCACCTGCAGAGAAACCCTGTGTGCCCAGGTGGGTGCCCCAGCCTGTGCTCAGCACTGGTGGGCATTTGGGTGGGCAGCAGTGGGGCTGTGGGGGGACAGCAGGGTGGCCTGGGGGGCAACCAGCTCTGGGGCCACGTTGCCCTGTCCAACCACAAAGACCAGCAGGGCAGAACCGTGGAGCCCAGAGGGGTGACAGAGAACAGTGGCCCAACTTCAGTGGAGCCAGGTTAGTGCTTTGGAGTCCTTTCTTGCTCAGGAGGTTCATCATAACCATTTCATTTAGCAGAGCAAGGCTCTTCACTGGGATTCTTGTCTTGCTGTTCTTGCCAGGCTTGGTGCACGAAGGTGACTGGTGCTAGAACTTCTGGTGCAGGCTCCTGGTGCAGCTGAGGTACCTCCAGGGGGCTTCTA